GAGCGCCAGAGTGCTTAAAGGAGTGCTGCGGTAACTGCACGTCACAGCCTCGATCCGGCTATTTGCCAGCTCAAAAAGAAGTAGCAGAAAGCTGCTCCTTTTTGAGCTAGCAAAAAGCTGGCTTTTCTGCCAGTGCAGCAGCTTTTCAGCATTTCTGCGGTACAGCGCAGTGATGCCAGCCACTGCATGGGTGGCGTGACACTGGCTTGGGGACAGCATTGGGGCATGCGGTGTTTGTATGCCAAGCTGCCAGGAAGCCACTGTAGTCTGTTTGCCCCATAATGTTACCAGACATATGAGTTAAGGATTGGGTTGCGTCAGTTTTATCATGTTTACTTGGTGAAGTTTGGCATGTTACGTGATATTTCATGATTTTCTGGAGAGGAAGAGGTCAAAGAAGCTAATGCTTGATATTTAACAGTAGCCAAATCACTTGTTTTAGATCCATCCAATATCAGCCATACTTAAACTGCTGTGAAATGTAAAAATAATCAACAGTGAGATATTCACAAGATAAAATTAGAGGGAAAACACCCTGATGTAGACTACAAAGAACAAAAGATTCAGCAAGGTGTCAACATTTTCTCTTTTTTCAGTGGACCATAAATTGCTGATTATATAATGTAGAAATAGTACCTTGAAAACTAATTTTAATTTACATTTTCTTTTAGTAAGACAGATGATACACTTCATTTTGCCAGGAGACCTTCCATGTGTTTTGGACTTCAGCTCCCAGAATCCCAGGCCAAGATGGCTGCGACTTCTGTGAGCTTAATTCCAAAAGACTTGGAGGAGCAGAGTTTGGGAATCATTATCTAAAAGGTTGCAAGATGTTAAAACAGTTTTACTGCTTTTTGATCCAATTAAAACTATTCAGGGAGAATATTAATACTAATTTAGGACGACTAATATTAAAACCTACTTTCATTTAAAATACTTCTTATCACACTGGTGCAGTCTTTTTCAGTTACCACCGAACTGAATCAAATGACCTAATGAACTACATCTTTAGCACATTGCATCTTTGGTATATATCAGAGTAATTGGTATAGCATACTGCAAGTATAACATTTTATAGAAGGCCCTTTCCACTTTTAATTTGAATTACAGTAACTCATGTTTATAAATGTATGTTTACAAGTACTTTTATCCAGTTAATGGTTACAGAGCAACTTTTTAGTTTCCTTGGAAGTAAATTAGAAAGATGAATATTGGAAAACCGAAGTCACTTATATTTTGCAGGTGGAAAATACATGAAGCTTGCATGCTGGCTTTAGGTTCAGTCAAATCTCTTATCACAGACAGTGTGAAGAATGGCAGGATACACTTTGACATGCATGGATTTCTAACAAATGTTGTTCTTGCAGACCTCAACCTGTCAGGTACTTCATCATTTGATTTACTGATTTGATGCTTTAAAGAAAAAGAACCTTCTAAGTATTTGTGCAATGTATGCATTGGAGAAATTAGTTATCTGGGATCAAGCAGAAAAAGAGATAGGAAGGATTCTGTAGATGTGATTTCTGTTGCCTTTCCATTTCCATGCAAGCTAAGATTAATTTATAAATCACATTATGATCTGTTTAAATTATGGCATTGAGTAGGAGCTCAATAGGAGAGGCAATGGCTTCCATCTCCCCTGCATCTCCCAGTACCCTGTTGCTATTCTTTCAGAACTCACAGCTCTGAAAGTATTATACATCTCTTCTTTGCTTCATCCATCAAGAGCAAGAAGGGGGTATATACATATGCCCAGAGACTTCAGACTACCTTGCTGTTTTGTACCACATTGGTAACCCTTCTTATCTCTCTATACAATGTGCATAGAAGGAAAAGAGTTTCAGGTACATTCAATAATTACTTGGTTTTCCCTGTCTTGGATACATTCAAGGAAAGAGTTTTTATGCAAATGCAGTGTCTATTTGTTCACTATATCCTTTATGCAGCTCTTCTCAATTGCAGATGACCCTGCTGTGTAAAGAAGATGCAAAGGGATGGGTGCAATAGCAATAATATTTTACATATGCTTCTTCCAGTGTCTCCTTTTCTGCTTGGCCGTGCTCTTTGGGCTGCCAGTCGCTTCACAGTTGCAATGTCCCCAGAGCTCATCCAGCAGTTTCTACAAGCTACAGTCAGTGGTCTTCATGAAACCCAACCACCTTCTGTCCGAATTTCTGCAGTAAGGGCTATTTGGGGGTACGTATATCAAGAAATAAGGCATATTTTGGTAAATTTGAGGCATATCTGGGAAAATGTCATATACGTTGAATGTTTTGGTGAAATATTGAACTGGTAATCAAATCTGAGTAGGAGAGAAGTTGCTCACTGTTACTGTTTTACTAACCTCACCAAAATTTTCTGGATTTTTTCTAGTTATTGTGACCAACTGAAAATCTCTGAAAGCACCCATGTCTTACAGCCTTTCCTTCCCAGTATCCTTGATGGACTAATCCATTTAGCAGCTCAGTTTAGTTCAGAGGTCCTTAATCTTGTGATGGAAACACTTTGCATTGTCTGCACAGTCGACCCAGCCTTTACAGCAAGTGCAGAGAACAAGATTTGTCCCTTCACAATTGCAATCTTTCTCAAATATAGTAATGGTATGTACCATGCAAGCTCTTGATACTATACATACAGATAGTTCAAAAGAAGTTGTTCAGTGCACAATAAAAATTAGTCTAAATATTCTATTTTGAAAGAGAGATACTGTTCAGTTACAAGATTTCAATTGTTGACTCTTTCAGTGTCTTGTATGAAGGACAACTATGAAGTCCATCTTGTATAGGAAAATCCAGGAAGAGATTAATAAATGTTGTTAGTGTTATTTCGCAGTCTGATCTATAGAAAAAGTCCCAGCTATGACATAGTGGTCTTCTAGTTATTGAGATAGAGAGCTTTGCTATGAACATAACAAATCAGTAAATACTAAGACTGTTTTCTCATTCTCAATAGAGTCAGCATTTTATATATCAGCTATTTCAATGTATTCATAATTCATATCTGTGTATCTGCCTTGATAGCACCTCTTCCATGCTTTCTTTTTAAATAATGATAGCCAATTAATTAGTAGAAAGGAACAGAAATTAAGGCATAAAAGCAAACAAATGTTAATCTTTGTTTTCAAATTCTTTATATTGCATCCAAAGGTTTAACTTATTTCTTTCTCTGAAATGTTGATCAGGAGCTAGTCAAATAGTCTAATGGAGTAAGAAGAATGTAGATTGTCACACAGCTCTGGTTGTAGAAGAGACATAGGTCCAAAACACACTGCAGAAATAATCCAGTTTGAGACCGCTTTAACTGCCCTGGTTCGGTGCTCTAGAATCCTGTGAACTGTAGTTTATTGTGGCACCAGAGCTCTCTGACAGAGAAGGCTAAATGTCTCACAAAACTGCAGTTCCCAGAATTCTCTAGCATTGAGCCAGGGCAGTTAAAGCAGTCTCAAACTGGATTATTTCTGCAGTGTGTTTTGGACTATAGAATTGTTCTGCTAATGAAGCTGTAAGATTCTTCTTATAAGAATTTGTTTTATTCTCACATGTAACATTTAAAGGAAGAGGGTCAGTTGTTGAACCTGTGTCTTTTTTCTGAATTTTAATTTGAAACAAATGCTGCTATACTTAGGTACAGAGGTATACTCTTTTGGGTATTTGAGAACATTTTTCCATCTAGCAACATTTAAAATGAGTATGCTAGCTTTTCTTCTTTAACTGTGCAGCTTTATCTAGATATTCCTCAGTAGTAACTGGTGTCTTTTCCTGCTTTAGATCCTGTTGTTGCCTCTCTTGCCCAAGATATCTTTAAGGAACTAGCTCAAATAGAAGCTTGCCAAGATGCAATGCAAATGAGGTTGATCCCAACTCTTGTCAGTATTATGCAGGCCCCTGCTGATAAGATTCCAGCAGGACTTTGTGCAGTAAGTATTCAGACACCTTTCAACATGGGAAATCCATTACACATCCTCTGTTTCTTATTTGTAGAAAGCAAAACATTTGTTTCCAAGTTGTATTCCAAAAATGTATTCAGTCATCATGGGAGGGGAAGAGTATGTTTCAAGGGATAAATAAACTAATATTTGATATTTGGGCTTTAGAGCTTCATTGCAATAACTGTTTCTTTTCTTCTTGCAATCTGTCATTTATCAGAACTTGCTTCCGGGTTATAAGGCTTTTTCACAATGATTTCGATCTAGATTAAGTAAGCTCAGGTCCCCACTTGAATCATGACATACCTGTTCTTTTAGTTTCAGTAGCAAATAATCCAAGTAATTTAAGCACTACAACTACTACTTTTCTCATTTCAGTTGAAATGGCCATCTTGAAGAATCTTGAGTATTTTGAGGATGACAAAAGTGATTTCTGAAACTGATCTGTTCCTTGTTCCTCGTAAACAAATCAGTTTTGCTAACCGAAAAATGGCAGACATTGAAATGTCTAAATGTTGAGTTTCATCTCTTAACTCAGGAATAGCCTGCTTGCAAAGAACAAATAAAACCTCATATTCTCTCCACATTTGTTTAAGAAGAATAGAAGAATTACCTTGTAATTGATGTGTGTCTCCTTATTTTATAGCCAGTAACCTCATCTTTCTAACTTTTTCCCCCAGACATCAATAGACATTTTAACAACAGTTGTGAGAAATACTAAGCCTCCTCTTTCAGAGCTCTTAATATGCCAGGCTTTTCCAGCTGTGGCTCAGTGTAGCCTGCATACAGATGACCATGCTACCATGCAGGTAATCTGTTTTTGGTGCCTGGGGTGGGTGGGTGCAGAGGGAAGCAGTGAGTATGTTCCTTATGTTATACTTAAGCTTATGTAGCCACTTCAGCTGCTTTATGTTGTTGTTGTTGTGTGCCTTCAAGTCGTTTCCAGCTTATGGTGATCCTAAGGCAAACCTATTATGGGGCTTTCTTGGTAGGTTTCTTCAGAGGAGGGTTTGCCATTGCCATCTTCTGAGGCTGAGAAAGAGTGACTTGCCCAAGGTCACCCATTGGGTTTCCATGGCCAAGCTGGGAATTGAACCCTGGTCTTTAGAGGTCCTAGTCCAATGCTCAAACCACTACACCACACTTGTTCCTCACCTTCTTTATACTGAATAGCATATTTGACATTGTGGACTAGACTAGTTTCTAGGTGTGAGCTGCACCTTTCACACTTGAAATTAACTTTGCCTAATTCCCAGTAGTACTAGAATTGGCAAGTACTGTTTTTTCTTTGTAGTGTCTTTGATTCACACAGTTTGGCCTTGACCAGAGCATAGTATGGAACTCCTTGGTGGTAACCCTGCCCCTGTGCTCTTGAGTGCACCAAAGCTACTCTATCCATTCTTTTTCATCCCTCTCAGGAGTGGCAGTTGTAGAAACTTTCTCTTTACTGTTTCATAGCATTTCTGAGTAGTGTCTTATCTTCACTGTTCTTGTTATTGCTGGTTTGTCTTTCTCATCATCTTCATTATGTCATCAGTTCAATTCTTTGTCCTCTTTGTTTTTTGTATGGCCTAGTAGGCTTTATTTAAACACTGTCTCATGTAGAAGGAAAATAGTGTTAACAGGCCACCACTGTCATTGCTTGTTTTGGCTAGGAGAGAGCCATTGCATATATACCTGTATAGCCTGCCAAAGCTTTGCAGTGGAGTCACTCAGTTCCAGATTCACTTGTGTGTGCTAGTTCTAAATCTAGCTAATTGGGTGACCAAGAACACACCACTAATTATGGCTTCTGTCTACATCTATAAAGAGCTTTCCTCCATAAAAGAGCTCTCCTGCTCCAGAACTATGTCTTCAGTCTTATTGTTTCTGACACTGTTGGACTTCACACTTGACATCAACCCTAATAATTTATTTAGGACTGATTACCTCTTTCTTTTTGAAAGTGACTTCTGCAACTATGAAATTGCTAGCACAGATTTCACAGTGAAGTCACAATCAATCACAAGGGAGATCCGGAATTCAGTTGTCTCTCCTCCAACTCTGGGGAAACCCCTTTTGGTATTGAAGGATTCTAGTAAGGAACTGAAGAGGGTGACAAAAGCATCATTCAAACTGATCTTCTGGTGATCCTTGAGGAAGAAAAAGGAAAAAAAAATGAAGAGAAGATGACTGATCTAACTACAGCCATCCCTCGGTATTCGTGGGGGGGTCCGTTCTGCCTCTCCCCCCTGCGAATACCAAAATTAGTACATTCTCAAGTCCCATTGTCCCAATTGGCGCACAGTACATCGCTGAGCGTCACCAGCAAGTCCCCGTAGCAACTGGGGAATGAGGCAGGGCGCAGGGCCCGCCTGTAGTCTGTGCTGGCCACCATGGGGACTTGGGGACTTTTGTGGTGTCACTGGGAAGGCTACCAAAGGCCCCGGGTCCCCATGGCAGCCAGGGCGGACTACAGGCACCAATGGCCCTAGAGCCCTGCCTCACTCCCTGGCCCCCATGGGGACTTGGCAGTGGAGCTGCAGCAGAGTGTGGCAGAGTCTGGTGATATGATAGCCCTGGCTGGAGGCTGGCGAAAAGGAAAAGTGGGTAGTAAAGAGGGAGGCCAGTTAGTGGTGGCTCGCTCCCTCCCTCCCTTGGTGGGCCAGACCCAGGCGAAAAAATGGACAGAGGACCTGGGGATCCCTTGCGGTCATACTGAGGGATAACTGTACTTCTGTTTCCAATTTGATGAGGATGTTTGCACCTAAACAACACAAACTATAGCTTCTGAACTAGAGAAGCCTGGTTAGGATGCTGCAGATGTTACAATGGGTGTTAATGTCTGGTTCTGTTGTGGGTCAGCCTTTATCACCTATTATACAGTGATTAGTGTGAGATATGAATCATCTAGTGAAGGCATTCAGTTTGTTTGTCTGAATTCTTGTTCCAACTGTGAAATAATTTTTAAAAGGTTTCCTTTACCTTCCCATGTTGAGAGACATTCTGTCCTAATTTTCATCATACTATTGCTGCATATACTCATAGAGAATATACTCTGCATACTGAGGGATTCTTGTCCAAACATATCATAGTTAGTGGGAGCTGAAATGAAGAAAGCATCCTTACAATAATTTTCCCCTTGTAGTCACCATCTTTTGCAAACATCTGTCGCTAGTGCAAAGTCTTCCAGTGATTCTTTATCATGGAATAGAAGATTTATTTACAATCTCTTATTAGTCAAAGGGGATTTTGTTGTCATTTTTGTTGTTGTATCACACTCAGTACTAAAGTGTTTACTCTCCCCTTACCACCAAGAAACAAAATAATAATGTTTTAGACAAAGTATTGAAGTCTCCTCCATATATGTCCATTGATATAACTGCCTCTGTACCAGCAATTACTCTCATCACATATCATCTTGTTCATCCATACAGTCCTCATAATCGCCTTCCTGGCCAAAGAAATGGTACAAAGAGTCCAAATACTAATCTGACTCTTCATTACATTCTTTCTCTACATTGAAGCATTATGTTTGTCTCCTTCTCCTGGATCACCATGTAATGCTGCTTCTTCCATCTCCAGCAGACAATCTAAAGCACCATCTCAACATTTGGCACACCATCACCAGCAATTATTGGGTGCTAACATTATCCACAAAAGCTATACCATAGAGTTCAACACCCTTCCACTAAAGAGGATTTCAATCATGATACCATCATAGTGGGTGCTGGAAAATAAGATATCAACACTTCTTCAGGAAGAGGTGATGGAATGTTTTGCATCAAAAAATGAAGGGGTATTACTCTCAGTATTTCACCTTGCTGAAGAAAAATTGTGGTATTTCACTTGTTTTGGATCTGAGAGATGTAAACTGTTGTATCACACCAATTTTTTGTTTGTTAGAACAATAAGCCTATGCTTGTCTGTAGCAGACTTCATATCTGAGGGAGTTGTTTTGGTACATCTGTGCATGCAGTGTGGAGTGGAGGGCTAGGTGTACTGCCAAAGAGCTACTTAGCTATTAAAGGTTCCATGTTCAGCTCTGTGCAAGCGTAAGACCCAGCTGGGTGAATTCATAGCTGCTCAGCCGAAGACTGCAATTGCAGGTAAGCATCCTGCCCTATGCACTTTCTTGCTCTATATCTCTATTTTAATCATATTGTTTGCTACAGTTTGTAAAAAAAAGACAGGAAATGGAAAGTGTGAAGTACAGCCAAGAATATAGATATATAGCTGTAGGATATATATGCTTCATACGCCCAAAGATTGTATGTGCTTTGGATGAGCTTCACTGAGTTTGATTTCTAGGGATATAGGTAGTTCTCAAATGCAGAAGTTTTCAAATCCAGAAGAATAATTCATAAATCCTAAATAAATATTTGAGAGCCTGTGTTGTGTAGTGGTTTGAGTGTTGGACTGTGATTGGAGAACAGGGTTTGAATTCCCCTTGTCCATGGAAACCCACTAGGCAAGTCACACTTTCTCAACCTCAGGATGGCAAAGGCAAAAAGCCCCTCTGACAAATCTTGCCAAGAAAACCCTGTGATAGGTTTGCCTTAAGGTCTCCATAAATCGGAAATTACTTGAAGGAAATTACTTGAAGGCACACAATAACAACAGCAACATAAATACTTAAATAATTTGTGGCATCTTTTTAATCATGTCTTCCTTCTATATGATGGCACTGGTACTATTATGCTTGCATTCCTGGGTTGCAGACTTTTTTATAACTAATTTTTTTCTCTGGTGAGTCACTAGTTACCCATGGATCACATTTATAACTTCAAGGCCATTCACATATAGTTCTGCGTTTTCTCCCATTTGGAAGCATACAGTGTCAGAACTACACCACTTGTCTTTAGGCTGCTGTCTAGATGTTTATAGCATAAGTTCCAGGAATAGTCATAATAATTTTTATGAAGTGTAGTTTGTACTGAATATAAGATGTTTCATAGCATTTATCCATATCTACAATAACCATACTGGCGATGATGCAGAAAAGAGGAGCAAGGTCACATTAAAAGGTCTTCTGCATCTTATTAATTGACTGACACATGCAGCCTTAGATTTTTTCCTCCCTTATGTTTATAATGTATCATGTTAAATGGCTGGATTCTCAGTGAGTTGAAAGGCTGAGTTCTGATTATGTGTTTATTGTTCATTCAGAATGGTGGCGAGTGTCTACGTGCATACATCTCAGTAGCACTGGAGCAAATTGCACAGTGGCATGATGAGCAAGGCCACAATGGACTGTGGTATGTGATGCAGGTGGTGAGCCAGCTTCTAGATCCACGCACCTCAGAGTTTACAGCTGCCTTTGTAGGCAGATTAGTTTCCACATTGATTTCCAAAGCAGGAAGTGAATTAGGAGAGAATTTAGACCAGATTCTAAGAGCAATTCTTAGTAAAATGCAACAAGCGGAAGCACTTACTGTAATGCAGGTAAGGAGGCTGGAAACTAGAGGAAGCCTTAATAGCATGCTGTTCAAATGAAAAGCCTTAGCATATCTTTTTATGTATTTCACCACAAAATGTGTCAGAGCAAAGTCAGGTTAATGATGGACGAATGAGTGAGATTATGTTCCAACTGTAAATGAGTGTCTGTCCAGTTTATAACAGTTGCCCTGGTAAAGCACATTCTAGGCAACAGTTTTCCAAAAGGCAGTTTTATTCGTATGGTCCATTAGAAAGTTGCAGAGCCTTTGAAAACACTTGTACTTGGTCTGAGAATGGAGACTGAGGTAACTGTAACTTCAGTGCATGCCAGATTTTCTTTGCTTGCCTGCCCAAAGTCCAAATATGAAACCGGGATGGAAATTGGACTTCATTTGAGGCTAAAGCTGAGAAAGTTATATCTGACTTCATAGAATTTTGTTTACAAAAATAGGCACATCCATCACATTAGAAAGTTAAATCTACATGCTGGTACTAGTTAGGCTTTTGGAATAATACCTCCTGGCTTAACTTATTAATGCTTGCAAGGTAACACCAAAATTGGAAATTACAGTTGCTGTATTGACCGTCTAGATCAGGGGTAGGCAACCTAAGGCCCGGGGGCTGGATGCGGCCCCTTGAAGCCTTTGGACCAGCCCCAGGCCAGTTCTGCGGCGCCGCCACCACCCGCCATGATGATATTGATTATTGTTATTACTTGTT